AAAAGAAAAAGCTTGATTCAATGGTCATGGTGCTTATCCTCTCTTGCAATGATGCGAGAATTTTCCCCAGTGAACTAGAGATGCTCTCAAGTCACTGAACTTTATGCAAAACATGTCATCGAGCCTATCAATGAATGCACAACACAGAGGACACTTGACTCTTGCTGAGTAAGGACATCCATCATATGTTTAGGGAAATTTCTTATCCTCTCTTCATTTTGCATTACCTTTCATGTGAAAGTTGTCTCACTTGCATCTGTTTCATTATTACAGATCTTTCAAACATCACCTTCATTCGGCCCTTAGCCAAATTCACCCTCATTGCTACACAATTTGCTCGGTCCTTCGACCGTGGCAGCTCAACTTGCTCGGTCATTCGACCGTTGCAACACAAGCACAAGCACAAGCACAAGCGCAAGCACAAGCACAAGCACAAGCGCAAGCACAAGCACAAGCACAAGCACAAGCACAAGCACCGGCACAAGCACCAGCACAAGCACAAGCACAAGCATAAGCACAAACACAAACTTGCTCGGTCCTTTGACTGTTGCAACTCAATTTGCTTGGTTATAAAACCGCTTCTTGCTCAACTATCTTGGTTATATAACCATTGCTATTCAACCGGCTCAGTTGTTTAACCATAGCCACTCCAGTTGCTCGGTCGTTTGACCGTAGCTATTCCATGTGTTCGATTATTTAACCATTGTGGTTATATAATCGTCTACAATCACCTCTTACAATCACTGTTTACAATCACCACTTACAATCACCTTTTACAATCACCTCTAACTGTTTCTTGCTCAACTAGCTTGGTTATATAACCATTGCTATTCAACCGGCTCGGTTGTTTAACGGTAGCCACTCCAGTTGCTCGGTCGTTTGACCGTAGCTATTCCATGTGTTCGGTTATTTAACCATTGTGGTTATATAATCGTCTACAATCACCTCTTATAATCACTTTTTACAATTACCACTTACAATCACCTTTTACAATCACCTCTTACAATCACTTTTACAATCACCATTTACAATCACCTTTTTACAATCACTGTCTACAATCCCTTTTTACAATCACCATCACCTTTTGACAATCACTGTTTACAATCACTTTTTTACAATCACCATTTACGATCACCGTTTACCGTTTACCATTTACTTTACTTGTTTGGTCATTCGACCATTGCGGTTATAAAACCGTCTTTCATCGCTTTTACTTTACTTGTTCGGTCATTTGACCGTTGTGGTTATAAAACCATTTTTACTTTGCTTGTTGGATCATTCGATCATTGCGGTTATAAAACCATCTTTCACCACTTTTACATTCCTTGTTCGGTCATTTGACTGTTGTGGTTATAAAACCATTTTTACTTTACTCATTCAGTCATTTGACCATTGCGGTTATAAAACCGTCTTTCACCATCTTTACTTTACTTGTTTGGTCATTCGACCGTTGCGGTTATAAAACCGTTTTCATTTTTCTTGTTCGGTCATTTGATCATATTGATGCTTCACTTTTTCGGTCATTCGACCATACTGATACTCTACTGTTTCAGTCATTCGACCATACTTATACTCTACTGTTTCGGTCATTCGACCATACTTATACTCTACTGTTCTGGTCATTCGACCATACTCATACTCATACTCTACTCCTTTCGGTCATTTGACCATACTCATACTCTACTGTTCTGGTCATTCGACCATACTCATACTTAACTCCTTCAGTCATTCAACCAGTTTTTACTTTACTTGATTAGTTGCTCAATTGTCAAAAAAAAAAAAAAGAGAGAAAAAAGAAGAAAAAGTTGAAAATTTGAGTTATTCTTGTCTTTTCTTTTCATTCTTAGCAAAAAGAAAAGAAAAGAAGGACAACTGTTATAACTCAAATTTTTATCAAAAAAAAAATCAAAAATATAAAAATATGAAAATTTCCCTTTTCTTTGACTAATATATCTTTATTTTGTTTCAGGTGCTACATGCAAAAAAAGAA